TGCTCTGATTTGTTCCTGGAGATGCTGTTAGCAAAGAATGTTTCCTGTGGGACTTAAACTGCATGTGTTAGTCAGCTGTTGTAAGTAAATGGCACCTCTTACCTCAAAATTCAGTCAGTAATTATTTGGACCGAAGCTTTTTTTAAGCACTATTTAAAAATACTTACAGTTGTGCTATATAAGTTTGTAATTTGAGGCAGCAAAGCTTTCTGTTGGAATGCATCTCCTGAAAGTTTAAAGTTATACATGCTGATATGCTGTTGGTATGTTGTAGCTATTATTTATTTCTTTGGAGACTGTGAACTCCTGAGTTGCATGTCATTATAATTAATCTGTTGTAACACGTAGGGAGATTGTCCCTGCTGCATACTGTTAAGAAAGCAACTATTCGTGTAGCCTTGTACCAGAGCTATTCTAGAAATGAGCTATTCCTAGAAGCGTTGGTCACTGTGGGCAAACTGTAGCTCACACAGACTCTGTTCCTGTCTATAGGTACAGGTTTGACCCACGGCTCATGTTCAGCAATCACGGCGTTTGGGCTCGGAGGTTTTCTGCACAGTCCTTGTAAGGTGCGTCAGAGCCTCTTGCAATCAGCTCCCACTGACCAGTTTCTCCAGCAACTGCAGCAGGTCTGTCTCTGTAACTCTCGTTGATTGCAGCTGGAAGACTTTTCATGGGCTATTCAAACCCTGTTTGGAAGAAAAACCCTTGTCTTTAGCTGGTTGCCTTGTGCAATATGTATATTTTACAGCCAAACTGTAATTCTAAATCGTTAGACACAGCTAATCTGTCTTGCTCAGATAGTTGATGACCACCTTTGTCTTTCAAGTACCTTTTCATATCACAGGCACAGAGGTAAACCTCTGCCTATGAATCTGAATAGTTTATTTTGTTCTAAAAATCAATAAATGCATATTTGAGTCAGGTTCGATAGGCAGGTGCTATTGCACAGTAATGCTCACCCATATTCAGTGTCATAGACTTTCTTAAGAGCTACATTTAATTATAGGTTTCCGGTATCACACTGAAAACTGTTGATGACAATAGCGAACTAGCCCAAAATAGCGTAGGAAGGCATTAGTCAAAACTGTAGGATCTGACTAGCAAGTGTCCTGTGCAGAATTAAAATCCATATGCTAAATACTCTCTTTCAATGAGACCACTGCGAATGAGACCAATGAATTTTGTAGGTCAGCTTTGGTAGCTTGCAAACAAGAATGTAACTTCAACCTTGTTCTAGTCTGAAATGCTGGAATGGGTTAACTGTGTACTACTGAAAAAAACTCTTAGGGTTTAATATAGGCTTCCTAGTGAGTTAAACAGAAGAGTGTCAAGACTAACAAGTATTCAAATAAGTGTGCCTGTGTTTTGAGCTAACTCTTAAGTCTGTTTTAATATATGAACAGAAGTAATACTAAAAAAAAAATCACAAAAATGACCCGAAGGGGCACCCTCAGTAGAGTTGATCTGTCTCTAACCTCCAAATGTCTTGAATTGTCTAACATCTTACCTTGATTACATTCTTGAAAGTAAATTATTTTGAAAGCAAACTAGCTAAACATAAATAAATCATTGCTCACTAGACCTTAGGCTGAGGGCTATTTTAGGCAGTTAAAGTGCTTCATAGAGTGTTGCTTTTTGGTTGAGACGTAACTACTCAGAACCTGCAGTACGTGGCCTTCACACCAAAGCATTGCACGTCAGATGTCTGACTGCAGTACGTTATCACATGGTTTCCCTTTGGAAGGGCGATGTTGTCTTTTTAACCTCCTGATTAGGCTTATCTGAAATGCAGCCATCACTTGCACCCAAACTTGAGTATCTTTCTAAATCTTGAAAAACACCCAGACTTACGTTAGCATGTAACTTCTGCGTAGATTCGTTGACAAAACACCATCGAGAAACTGAGTTGTGTATCTTTTGCAAGACAAGTTCATGTTGCTTGTGGGCAAATCAACTGTGTAATCAAGCAAGATAATATTTCCCTTGTCAAACAAACTGTGGCAAAACTACTTAGTTTTCAGTTAGTTATTTCAGATCTTTTACCCAAATAGAGAACACGATGATTTTAACTTCAGTCACGTAAAACCTTGTGCTACTTCTTAAGTAATCATTAAGTAGGCAACAAGGTACAACTCTTCCAAAACTGTGAAGGTACATACCCCAGTGCACACCTCCACAAACTGGATACAAGCAATGCTACAGTAAGAGAAGTCGAACTTTCTTGGCTTTTAGTTCTGAAGCACAGTTGCCCATGTAGCTTAGAGTTGCAAACTTCTGTGGTGGTCTACCAGTTTGATTTTATAGAGCTTTTGTCTCAAATCTAACTCATTGTTTCAAATCTCTACAGTGACCAAATATTTGGAGAAGAAAATAGCTTGAAAGGTAACTTCTCAGCTAGAGCATCTGTATAAATAAAGAGGTTTTTGGATATTCAGACTACTTACACATTTTCAAATACTCAGGACTTTTTTTTTCCTCCACTACAACTGTAGCTTTATCCTGTTTTTTTTGTTTCTTAGGCCTTAATATTGCCCATCAATATCCTTCAGACTCTATTCTGTCTTGAAAACAAAACCAAAGTTGCTTTCATGCTCTCAAGTGTTTTCTTGCGCACTGAGCTGAACTTAAAGTTCATTTATGTGGTGTTTTTCTTGGGTAATTCGAGCAACTTAGACTTGTTGTTTAAACTTTATTTGGTAGCTGTAGACTTGTTGTTTAAACTTTATTTGGTAGCTGTGTGGTGGCTAGTGTGAAATACATTGATTGCTGCACATTAAACTCTCAACAATTCTGTCAAATCTAGGTCGTATGTCAAGTTTCTACTTGAGTTAAGTTTCAGTGCAAGTAATGTGCGTTTTGTTCCTTTTTAATAGGAAAAAAACCCACCTTTTGTTATGGGTACAGACGTGTAACTCTAACACTGTCTTTTCTTAAAGTGATCTTAAGCCCTAACAAGGAAATTTTCTTCTGAATGGTTTACTTGTTGCCTAATAGCTCATATGAAAGGTGACAGAATTGATACAGATGATCATGTGTCACCAGATGTTTTACCCAAATTCACACTCTTGCTATCTGCACACACCTGTAAAGCACTTTCTAACTAGGCTCAATAACTTACACACTCACTGTTAGAGAACCACACTATGCCTGAAACCAGTCATAGGTAGTAAATGTATTAAATTGAAATTAGGAATGAAATTAGTCAGTCCTTACTTAAGCAAAAAGAGAAGAGTGGTTTAGGAAGGTATCTGCTTCACTCCCACCTTTGATAAAGACTTAAGAACCATTCAGCAAAAGCGTGTGGTTGAAGGAAGCAGAGGAACCAACAGCTGCCTGCCTTCCATTACTTGTAGAGGAGTTTGTTGTCACTTGTCTGGTGTCTGTTTCCACAGAGCAGTTAATTCTGAGTGTTTTTACAGCCTTGAATGAACAGTGTTAATTCTTATCCTTGATGATTAAAAAAATACTGTGAAGGAGCTTTGACTCTTACCCAGATCTAATTCCCAACTAAGTGATTTTAAAACCAAATGGTCTTCCTGGATATACCATTTCATATGCTATTTGACCATGTCTGTATCTGTACCTTGTTATTAAAGGCATTTGTGTTAAATGGAAGGGCTTTACCAGTACAGAGTTTTTACATGAAAGGGCCTTGCTGGTACAGAGTTGGGTTTAGGTAAAATGTGATTTTTTTTTTAATTATTTTTTTAGAAATCCTTGTTGCCAAGAGCAGAGCTGTGAATTTTAATGATCTGGTAAAGTAGATACTATCTGGGGAGAAATGCAGTTAATAACTTTATTACAATATCCTAAACTAAAAAAAACACATTCAGTATCATCACTTTAGCATAAGTAAATACAGCTAGTATGTGCTTACCCAGCATAGGCCCAGTAAATTTGGCTGCTTTGTTTTGAGGAATAAAGCTGTAACAGGGACACACACCTGCAGTTACACACCCAAAGCAGGTATAATATCTTTTCAATCAAATTAAATTTAATACTGATTCTACAACCAAAATACAATATTTCATTGTAATGAAACAGCTGTCATTTGTTGTGATTCAATTAAAATTAATTTTATTTGTATTTTTCTCTCTCTGTATGTGAGCATACTTTGCTGTAGCATGTTGTGAGCATACTTAACTTCTGCTGTTTTGAACGTTTGTTTAGAAAGTGCCCTTCCAGAGGACCCTGTTCACTGCTGCACTTTTGGGGAAAGAAAAAATAAACTGCCTATCAAACTTCCTATCTTTCTGTTACTGAATTTCAGTTAAACCTTTCCACAGGATCAAGCCGTGTCATGCTTCTTAAGACTGAATTCCTAATTTATAAGCCTGTTCTCTGCTTGCTGCCCTGCTATGTAACAATGGCCACTAGTGAGCTCTTACATGGTCACAGGGAACCTTATGCACAGCATCTAGCAAGACAACATGTGACTGCTTTGCACCAGGAAGGAACACTGAGGTGAGAGCAAATTCAAATGCAAGCTGTACTTGCTCCTATTTCATTGGAAACTGATGGAGTTGAATAGATGGAAAACTTTAACAACAGAGGCAATGGAGAAACTGCTGTTCATAACAAAGAGCAGCATGTTCTGCCTCTGGGAAAGAGGAAGAATAAAATCCTACATAAGGATTTTTCCAAAATGGGAACTGTGAGCAGCAGGAAGATATGTGCTACTTACTCACCTCAATCAGAGTTTAATTCCTTGGATGATTCTGTGCAACTGTTTAAAAATATATACGTAACTATTTTCTGAACTATTGAGCAGGGTGATTTGGTACTTTTAACCTATTCAAGTCTGAGGCTTTCACAAGCTTCTGAAACAAGTATTTCTGCATTGTATTTCCCCTTCTGTGTAACCACGTGGTATCAGTTTCATTTCTCCTTCAGTGATGTTGCAGTCTTCCATTAAGTAGAGAAAAATATTTACTGGCTGCTTGAAACAATGCCGCTATCTTTATTTTGCTGCTCCAGCTTATGAAAACTGTAAAAGTTTACTGTAGCACCAGAAGAAAAGGCAGCTCTGTATTACCTAGATAAACCTTTCCATCATGCTCTGACATCACTGATGGCCTAAGTGACACTACCATCAGGGTCACAAAAGCTTGCCACACTACATCCTTCATTGTTAATTTCTAAGAACAAGTCATGTTTGTGAAGAAAAATGCTGTAGAATGATAATGTTTTAAGAAAGAAATACACAGTGTTAACACTTCATTCAAGGGATGCAGGGGGGGAAATTCCATGACTAGAAAGAAGTGGCAATGGTAATATATTACTTTCCAGATGTCACTCTAGTCAGATTCAGCTGCCACTTAATCTTTTGATGATATCCACCAGACTGTTTCTAAAGCTGGAGGTGCAGTAATCGCAGTCAGTGCCTGCTTGCTCAAGAAAGTATGGAAGTTGTTTGAACTTACTCCAGCTGCCAAAAGCCACCCATTTTCTAAAAACACACAAAAATAAGAGGGACTTGATGGAACACAACTGACTCACCCACTTCAGTGTTTTTCCTGTACAAGTTCTAGGCAAAAGGCAGCATAGTTCCTAGAAAAAGTAGCATGGTTATTCATAACCAGCTCTTGCTTGGCAAGAATGGCTCTGCAGAGTTTGATTCCTATAGCCAAATTCCTCATATTTTCTGTAAAGGGTTCTTCACTTGTCTTGACAATATTGTGTTGCTATAAATGACGGGCTGAAGAGCTTGCAACTATGGACTACTTTTGTCAATACTGATTTTTCTACTTTATAAATGGGTTCCCGGTATTACCATAACAGTAAAACTGCTTTAATACATACAAAATAAACCAATCCTCAAATGTTTCAGAAGAATCAAAGTTAGTATGTGTTGGTTTGCTGGCTGGTAAAGATGAAGCGGTCTCTTGCTTTTCCCAATGAAGAATGACAAGTTCTTTCGTATCTCAAAAATTAACATTTTTGTGACAGTGATAGTTAACACTGCACAATGTCAAAGTTACCTTTGCAATAAATCTTTTCAGGAATGGATATGGTCCGAAAGCATCCAGAAAAGGAGAAAAGAAACTAGGAAAGTAGATATTCCAACTCTGTAGAAGCCTGTGTTTGATAATGTGATGTTGTCTGGATACCCAGGCAGGTTGTGCACAAAACCAACTTTTTTTCCCTGCATTAGCTCCACTCACCCAATAGCTTCAAAAAGGGAATTCTGTATATGAGTTATAGGGGCTGCTGCAAAATACAGCAAGGTTAACATTATGGAAGATCCATCGTTTTGATGCATGCAAGGAAGTTTTCAAAACACAGAAGAGGACTCTGCAGGAAGTAGTAAATGCAAAGAGGGGCTGCACTTGAGTAACAATCATTGGTCAAAAAACTCATCTTTCTACATGTAATACAAACAGTACCTCCCTCCTGGTTCTAGTCAAAAAATCTATTCATAGCAAATGTGCCTGTTAAATGAAAACTAATACTTAAGTTGGCTTTGGAACTTCCATGAAATAGAAAACTGTTAAAACTGACTCCCTTTAAAATGGAATGTTCTGCTAATCATCATAATCACTCAGTGACCCTTGTCCTCTGAGGTCTGTTGTAACTGCAATAATGGAGTCATCAGGATAATTGTAATTCAGTCTGAGGGAATTAGGGCCCCGTATATCAGTAAATCAGTATAAAAAACATTTGGCAGTGGGAAGAGCAACTGTAATCTCCACCTAGAATTAACTAAAACCTGTGACTCTTGCAACAGAAAAAAGTAATTTAGACTAAGTTTCCAACAGCAACCCTGTGAACTTGTGTTTTCAGAAAAGTAAGGAAAAACAGAAAACTAAGAACATGACGATCATGTCTACAAATTGATTAAAAACATGTAATACAAACTAACATGTAATATTTTATATCTAGGAGGAGAATGATGTTTAACATACCATATGATTCTACATACGCTGGTTTCTGCTATTAGTAAGTAATCTTCATAGGGAGACAGTGCAGTCCCGTTTGCCACGCGCCAGCCGCTGAGCACTGTTCTTCCTGTTCTTGTTGCAGGGTCATAGGCCAAGAGGCAACCAAGATGGTTTGTTTCCATTGCCTTAATCATGTAATGACAAAACTAGGCCATCGAAATACCTGGTTTCAATTAGTAAATTGAAAAATTTTCAGTTAGTGAATTGAAAAATTGAAATTTTCCTCTGAAAAAGCTGCTCTCTGCTGCTGCCTAGGACCCAGTGCTGCCAGCACAAACATTAACACTTCGGCTGCCTGAAGGAACGGCTACAAAGGGACCTCATCTCACCTCATATTTGTGATGCCATCTTTCCCACTTATTACTTGAAAATATTCATAAGGTGTACGAACATAAATGGGATAAAAGCAGACTTTACGGAATGGCAGATGGCATCTTTATAAGCTCGCACCACTAAAGGAGCAAAGGGTTCTGGTCATGTCATTTCCCAGGCTGGTCACAGCATTCTTGCCAAAACAGGAACATGGGGGTCATAAAGCCTGGAGTTCAAAATATGTTATTCTGCAGTTCCTGATTTAGCAAAATACTGAGGCCTATCAGGCTTCTGTGAACAGTTACAACTTCTTCAAATCAAACCGGAAAGCATTCATGACTGTTTTGCTAAAGCGAGTAAACGGCTGACGTTGTACTTCTGATGTGAAATAATTTGAATAAGTTTCTTGGGCTAAAAACCCGCAGGGCAGCTTTGAATTATGTAAGCCCTGTGAAGAGGAAACTGCCTTTATGCTTGTCATTCGTACTGGCAGCCCCTGGCAAGTCTGAAGTACTAAATGGCAAGGATGAGGTACTACCAATAGTTCTGATCGATGGCTTTAAAAAACAGCAAGCGACACGTAAGAGATTTCAACTATTTTATTTTCCTTTAATAACTTGGATCTCAATTCTCACCCCTTAAATTAAGTATCTTTACCTTCATGTGATTTTGCTCCTTGCTTAATTTTTATCCACAGTTCCAGTAGTAAAGACAAGACTCAGTGTAAACTTTTATGTCTGTGACTGCACTGAATTTCAGCTTTACAAACAGTTTGTTCTAGATTAAGGTTTACTCAAAGGCTATGACTACACAGAAAAGATACCTTCAGGTACACCAGCAATTTGCTACCTTGCAAAACCACTTTACTGCAGTGTAAGAGCGCACTGGTAGACAGATACCAGAGAGAAACTAACATGCTGTAAAAATCCAGGCTGTAGTGTACCACGTGATGATTTCTTTGGGTCGTCATACCCAGAGGTTTTTATTTCGGAAAAGCAGCTACAGAATAGCGCAGCCCATCCTCTGCCTCAGGGCTCCAGCATGCTGCATTCATGGGCGCTTGGCTAGAACACACCAGCACAATCTGAAAAAGCTGCTCTCTGCTGCTGCCTAGCACTGGTGCTGCCAGCACAAACATTAACACTTCGGCTGCCTGAAGGAACGGCTACAAAGGTACCTCATCTCACCTCATATTTGTGATGCCATCTTTCCCACTTACTACTTGAATCTGTAAAATAAATCCGTTTTTTCTTTGAGATTTCTAATCCATGTAGGAATTTGAAAGGCAGCCCATCCACACCTAGTTAATAAAAATGACTACCGATTGAAATAAGTGCAAAACCACCAAATGTTCAAAGTTATTCAGATCCACACAAGCTTAAGCTTTCAGACATTGCAGTTCCAAATCTCATAGTTAATGCTGTCCTTAATTTGTCCCAAGCTGAAGTCCAAGCTCCACATTACTTTTATTTGCAGGGAAATATGTTCAGGTTGCAGCTCAACATAACACATACCAAACCAAAAGCCTCTGACAAGTATAATAGCTTTTGTTTTCTTCTGTTTTTAAACAAATCTTTAAAATGTAAAGCTAATTAGTCCCAGTCCCCACACTCGCTAGTACCAATCTCGGCTGATTAAAGTGCCTTCCAATTTATATATAAGCATGAGGACCAGACCCAAGAACAATCTGCTTTCCCACTAACTGCAGCATCACCTTCCTCACTTGATAGCAGGAGAGTTTTCTCTCCTGTCCTTAGATTGACTTTGTACAGGCCTAAATAAGAGTCCACCACAATCATGTTACTGTCCTGATCCATTCAGACTCCATCTTTTTCTACGAGTAACTTGCAAAGGAAATGACAGTATAACATCAATCTAGTCACCTCTGTTCCTTATTACTTAAGAAAAAATTTGCTCCCAACTTTCAAAGAAATTCGTCTCTACTCTGTTTTCCCAGACAACTTTAAAGATGACTGAAGAACTAGTAGGATTACTAAAGCAGTGAAACAAAATGGATTACCTGCTGTTTATTTTATATCCCCAAGAAAAAGATGGGAGAAAACCACTTTTAAGAAAAATTTAACTAACTACTTGCCTGCAGCGGAGGGGCCCAAGTTCCACAGGTCACATGACAGTCTTGTAAATAATTCTCAGGTAAAACTACAAAAACCAGATCTACCATGTTTAGTATTTTTATAGTAATTTTCCTGAAAGCAGTGAAATCAGTAAAGCTTGACACCCTACAGTTTTGTGACCTAATGCCCTCTACTCTGAAATACGTGTATTTTCCCCTTTTTCTCTCATAAGCAAGGGACAACATCCATTAGAGCTCACAAGAGCTCTAGCACATCAGTAACTCAAGTTCACTGACTGAGAGCTGCCAAAAAGTTAACAGCTGAGTTTTGGTCTCACTCTGAATGGATCCATCATTTTAGTCTCATTTTTGGTTTCTTAACTTCCACGTGTCAATTATTTACATAAGACTCAAAAAGGTTCAATAATCTTTGAGAATTCTTTCAAATTCAGTCGAGACTAGCCCAGAGCACGGGGACTTTGGGGATAGGGAAAGCACCTACATAACTGTCACATGTTTAGGAAACCAGGCTAAAGCCAATCAGCTATTTTAAGAGCCTTTCAGGCCTGCTTGATTCATCAAAAAGGAACAGGATAAAAGTGTAAACATTTCAGTATTTGGCTTCCTCATTTACGAGTGGAAAGAAAACGCAGCCTTGCAGTCCAGTTACTCCTGATGGTACCAGCACACGCTACTGTGAGTCTCTGATTCCTTTGTAAGATTTCAACTGTTTGTAAAATACATTTTGATCTTGAGGCAGGAAAATAATTGGATAAACCATGTCTTTAGACCATTCTCAAAAAGCTTTGTATAGAAGGACTTCTATAAAATGTTCTTTATTTAAGTGGCAATCCATGGCCAGTCAGTCCCAAGGGCTAGAGAAGTGTCCCATGATGCCGTAATCCTGCCTACGTTAGGAAAAACTACATGGATAGCAGTAGGCTTCTCTCACAAACTTGCGTAAGAGAATCAGAAAACGTTAACAGTAGCTAAAACAGCACTTCAATTTCTCATTCAGTGACATTTCTATGAAAAGTTTGTTGTAGTTTTCACATCGAAACCATTGCTCACCACATTCAGGCATATCCTGCCCCATTTCAGTAATGAAATGCAGCTGGTCACCACTGATCATCCACAGTACCAGTGTAGATATTACCTTAAAATAAGTATAGTAGAAGACTGTTTTAAAAGAGACCACAGCAAATAAAACTTACTTTAAAAGAAGGACACTCCTCATTATTGTTAGCCCTTCCTTCTTGCTCCTAATTTATATATCCTATGCACACACCGAAACCAACAGGAAACCATACAGCTTCAAAGATATTTTTATAAAACAGAAAGAGCAATAATAAATTGGGGGATTAGAAAAAATATGAATTGTTCATATACTTGCTTTCAATAAACATAATACATTAAAAGCTATCTTAATACTCTTCTGGGTTAGCAGCAAAGGCATCAAGGGCGGGACTAAGATTCACAGGGATATTCTCAGGCTGTCAATGAAAATCAGTGAAAGCATCAGCAGAGCTCATATGATCTACCTTTTTGTCCTGAGGGTTTTGCCATGTTGTCAGCTTCCTAAAATGTTCAGTAGATAAAAGGAAAACATTACGATGACTGATGTAAAACAAGAAAGTAATCCTTCTCCTAGGAATAAAAATCCTAAGCAAAAACCCCAAGTGTTTGTGGGGGGTTTTTTAAGTTGTGATGTTTTGCTTTGGTTTTTAACCACCAGAATAATACTAAAAACATGTAAGTCTGCATTAAAGGACTAAGCACTTTTTTTTATTGGATAATTGTTTAGCAGTTGCTTTCTCCTCTGCTTTTAAAGCGTTTAAAGTAACAAGGCAAAAACTTCACAGGAAGTCTTCAAATCTCTTGACGTTGCATTGTAACTCCGAAAACTTCTGTGTACATTATCAAAGGCAAAACACCAGCAGTGATTAAGCCCCACCTTTGAAAAACAGCAACCTTCTGACTAGTCCAGGCTCTGAAATAGTACAATGCATGTGACCAATCCTCGAATTACTTTTCAACAAAACACACTTTTAGTATAAAGTCTGCTAACTGTCTGGAAACATTCCTCTCATTTGTTTTTTATTTACACAGATTGAACTAAAGTAGACATTATTTTCCTTAAGTGTGACCTGCATTTTGACCCCAGCCTTGTTGACATTTAAGAATGTGCACTGTCATTTGGCAACAGGTGTTAAAAGATACTCTGTAAGAGTTACGCTTCCTTTTTGTGCCCGTATTACTAAATACCCACAGATTCTGACTTTGTCTAGTGAGCACTTACGCCAGAGCAGATAAATAAACAGATATAAAAATGTATAGCATCTGCTCACTCACATCTATGGAAAAATGTTGCAAGCAAATAGGAGAGTTTCTCAAAGTATCAGCTGTCAGATCTAGACTAAAAGAATTGTCCGGGATTACTGGCATACAGAAAGCACCTGTTTATCCGAAGGGGGAACTTCAGAGCCACTGCTCTATACAAAAACTTGGCCTGGGAAAAAAAACAGGTTGAACTTTGCTGTCATGAAATATACTGGCATTCTTAACGCCTCCCAAGGCATGTTGGAAACAGCTGAAATTTCTGCTCACATACCAGCAGATTCTGTATTTAAGCAGAGAAATCTAAGACTGTAATGCTATTTTCTATCACGCTACGCACGAGGCTATGATGCTATATTTAGATTTACATAGCTACTGCAAGTGGGTTTTGCACTAGAATTCTCTCCTGGGTATTTGTGGTAAAGTGAAGGCAAAACAGAACTGCTCTAGTTACCTGTAATATCCTGTCTTATTCATATGGAAAACAGCATTTACCTACATCAGGCATCACCACCACAACACTTACTTGGTCATACTCTATGATTTTAAGTGACTGAATCCAGTCTCCTAAAACATCCTTAAATTCAGGGAAGATCCATGCCAGAATTAACACGCTCCAGAAAAACAGAAGCGAAACAATACTTTATACAGCATCATGAAGGAGGCTAGATTTCACAACACAGAGCATTTGCAGGATTAGTCCTTGTGTTTAAAATACACTCTGCAAAACTCCAGCTGCGAAGGCTACCCTGTCTGAAAGTCGCATGGAAAGAGACGGAGAACAAAAAGTGCGACAGAAAGACAATTCAAAACAGCACCTTTGAGGAAGGCAGGAAGGAAGCAGCTTTGAGAAGGTATTTGCCCAGGAATTGGTGCCTCAACACAAGACGCTGAGCTAGGTCCCTTCCAGGCCTACGCCGCTGCGACTGAAAACTCTTCTAATTTCAGCTTGCACGATGGCAAATAAGAACGTTCCAGATGATTACGGCTCACCGCAGTAGCACAAAACACAACACTAACTTTCAGACAAACTCAGTATTTCCTTGAAAAAGACCATAAAACTAGCACCAGCAGTAAGGGAGGCTGCCTGCCTGGCTCAAACTGCTCCAGACTAGGAGTTGCCTACTTCTCCGTTCTGGCTACGGCAGGAATCTATTTTATCCGCCTACACCTCAAGAGGAAAATAATTCCTCCAGAACAGGTAAGTCCAGAGTCCACAGCACTAAACCTGTGTCCTAAACAGAAGATCACTGTGTGTCTTCTTATTCAGCTCGAACTTTCACCGCAGTCCCTACTTTGGTCACGCTCTGGCTAAGAAAGTGGTTGGAAAGATGCAAAATGTGCTACTGGACACCACCTCAGCCCCCTGCTTCCCACTGTCTGTGAGGTTCCTGCATCTGCCATTTTGCCGCCTCACAGCTGTCACACAACCAAAATTAATTACTTGGATAGGTAAGAGGTTTTACATTACAGTGAGAAATTCTTTCATATTCCAAGGTGCTCCAAAAGTGTGGTTTTGAGAACTATGCAAATTTTAAAACAACTCCATTTGCCTTCCCTCTTTGGCTCCATGTTCAATAAAAGCTTTTGGAACAAGAGCGTGCTTGAACTCAGTGACTCAGCTCAAGCAGCAAATTAACACTGCTTTTGGAGGCCCAAAACAAAACAAAGCAAAACCCCAAGGCAAGCTTATCACTAGCTCTATGTCAAAAGCCCAAGCTTAGACTCACATTTGGAAGAATTCCCACAAAAATCGTAAGCTGTTTTTGTATATGACTTTCATACCTTTTGTAAAATTATGTTTTAATAAGACTTCTGTATGTCACTAATTTGTGGGTCTATATTTTTTAATATAGCGGCAGGACATTAGCTGTGTCCTTGGGAGCAGCAGATAACAAAACGTTCTGGAATATTTCCAGGGAAATGTTTACAAATGTGAAGATACAGAAGAACATAAAGTTATCCTAGTATTTTTGGAGCAATCATTTAGCAAACGTTCCTATTTTTCTTTCTTTGGATTTAATTCTTAAATCTTCTCTTTCAAAAACTTGACCGAGCGGATGTATCGAATGTATAACATGTAGCAGATGTATAACTTTACACATTTGGAAGTTAGCAGCAACTTCATCATCAACACTAAGAGACTCTGGACCTTTCAGTTGTCATGTGAAGATCCTTGTCCACTCTGAAGCTGATTATTTACTTGCAATGATCCAACTAAGGCAGCAGATGGCTTTCCAAAACTGCACCAAATGAATTACAAATAAGATGTAATAAGCAAGACAACATTGGACAATAAAATAATTTGAAGGAAGAGTAACAGGACTTTATTCCAGAGATACTAGTAACAAGGTATTCTCTTTTTCTAAATAATTTGTTAAAACTATTACTTGAAACTCAGCGAACAATTCTGTGGAGCTTGCAGGCCCGGGCTAAAGAGAATACAGAATTTTAGATTTTTTTCTTTCCTGAAATCAATACAAACACAGAACTGCAATCCTCCTATACATCTATAGCATATATGTATTATATGCTATCATTAGATTGCTGAGATCTACCAGCAATCTCTCTACACGTGTGTATGAATACTGCACTGTTCAGCACTGTTTTGCTTGAAATTCACTTGTTTTTTTAAAAAAGTGTTTCTATTTTCCAGTTTTATATGAGAAACAATTTCTCCTGCATATGAACTTCAGCAGCATGCTTTATATGCTCCTGCAGGATGACAAGTACAGAGGTTTTGACCAAGTACACAGGGATTTTTCAACACACAGCTATGCTATCAAACTTTTAACATTAGGCAAGGGAACATACGTGAACGGCTCTGGATCGATGGGAGATGGCAAAAAGTAAATGCTAGCAAAAGTCACAAGGACTGCAGCTGGAAACCCCATGCTGGGAACTTGGGAGGAAAACAGTTGTATACTCACGCACACACAGGAGGAGGGCAGGAGGGGAGTAAGAAGAAACAATTTTTTTTTTTTTTTTCAAAAGTTAAAATCAACACTAAAAATTAAGACTGAAGAATGACAAAGTGGACTGCAGCAACCTGGTGATCCTGCCATGGAGAGGAGTGGCCGGGCTGCTCCACGGGCAGCACTGCCATCCTGCTCTGTCTCTGCACTGGAGCTCCTCTGGTCTCCACACCTCCAACACTCCCACGGAACCCAGAGCTTAAATTTAAAAGGATTTTGTGTTTTTTCTTTTCTTGTTGTATTTCAGAATATAGATTGGTTTTAGTTTTTCTGTATTATTCGAGCTTGTGGTAACAGAAAATAAACACACATAACTCAGTATTACCAACTTCAACTTTAATAATAATGGAACCATCACTTTTTTGCCATTTCAGTAATAACTTTAAGGGGAATAAAAACTTCCCTACAAAAATAAAACTAAGCTTGTCAAAATTATAAATAGTTTAAATGTTTGTTTTTAAAGACATACATTTTAACGTTTCCCTGCATTCCCCCTCCCCCCTTGCCCATATCATTTAATCACTCTGGTACCATCATATAACAAAATGAAAACAGCTTTGACAGTTCGATTTGATGCTAAAATTAAAAAACTGACCAGGCATGACCACTTCTTTTAAATTAAAGCTGTTGTAATTGCCAGTGTGTAAAAAATAAACAAACCCCACACACGACATCTTACAATAATTAACCGTGGACTAAGACAAAATTAAAATAAGTTTATTTTGGTCCCCCACCCCCACCCCATTCACCCCAAATCAAGACTCATAGTGCATACAACACTGATTGAGGTTTTTGGCTAAAGTAAATGCAGATGCGCCTACTTAAAAGACTGATAGTTTAGTTCAAGTAAAAACAAAATTCACATATTTTCATACTCCACTTTTAAACTCAAACAGTGTTTAAATCTGAGCAACAAATGGTTCGATACTGACAGCAATTATGTAATGGTTACATAGTTATGGGCAGATATGTAAATTAAGTAGATGTTAACAGAATACCCACCAACATGCTGCTGCATTCACAGAAAAGCAAATTGTAACACAACATAAAAGCGTTCCCTGAACCATTATAAAGTGTCTCACTTGAGGATAATGTTACTAACTCACACATGCACTACATGTTACATGTGAAATTAAAAAACAAACGAGATATGCCTTAGATATACTTTATAGTTAGTCCTACTCTTAATTTCTCTTAACACTTTAAAACATTACGATTGTCTCATTAAGCTTGCAAATTCTTTTTACCAAAAAAAAACGGTGAAGAGTTTAAATAAGAGAGTCTCACGAGGAAAGGAAACAAAGGCACAATTACATCAAACTAAGGGGAAGAAAAGAAGCATCTTGGAGTTTCACACAGTATCCATTAGATGTCACCAAAGTTTCGACAATTCCTTGGGAATTTAAAACCAACACCCTAAGAGCTGAGGGAAAAAACCCACCAACTTCCACTGCTCTTAAATCGTTAGCACTCCTCCACCTCCCTCCTGCCCCCCGTATACCCATTTCCTCTCTGGCATGATAATGACTAAAGCATCAGTTACTCAAATCTGCCTCATGCTTCTATTGCACACCCACTTCTTTGGTTTCTTTTGAACGTGCTTTTTTATATAAATAACTCTGAAGGAACAACAGGTATATTTACATAAAGTAAAAAGGTTTTTTGCTACATTTTTCCTACTTTTAAATCAAGTAAATCATCAGTCTGCAGAATTTGGTAATCAGTTTTTCAATTAGGAATTTAAAAACCATAAGGAAAAAACCTTCTGAATTACTAAAAGCAAGAGTTACTAAGCTCAGTCAACAACACCCGCCAATGTATGTTAATTTTCTGCTAAGCTGGAAACACGAATAAGAAATTCTACTTTCTTTGCCTGAGCCTTTAACAAACAAAGAAGCAGAGGAAGATATTTTTGCCTTTCAGATATGGTAATTCAAAACTATCCAGCCTAAAAATGGATCACTGAGCCAGAGGAGAGATCTGACTTACAGTAAAGACCAAATGCATCTGGAGTTATAGCTTATGTCTAAGCACTGCCTAGATGGGTACTTCTCACAGCGTTGGCTGAGACACCGACCACTTCTCAGAATTCAAGTAAGCAGCTGCTTCGCTTTGCTGCACTTTCCGAACCCCCACTACGCATTTATGGAACCAGCTTCTCCAATAATGACTCACGTGTGCGGCTCCATTTCCATTCTTATTTAGCTTTTGCCTCTCATTCCTTCCCGTTATTTCTATTATCTTTATTTCTTTTCCAGTGTGGATTTATGCAGTTAAAAACCATAAAACTTATTCACAATATTACAACATCCTAAAACTTTAACCTCGTAGAATTAGTATTTTAACTTTCCTCTGTATAAATACTATTTCCATTTAAAACCAGTCCTCCTCTGTCAGCTGTTGTTCCCTCCCTCAACTCTTACCTTCTTTTCAACTTTCTCTTTACCTTCTCCAGAAAGACCACATTAAAGCCCTTCACAAATTTCACAGAACAAACCACAAGATCTCATATGCCTTCCATCTATAACACTTCTCTCACAAATTATACAGTAACTATTTGAAAATAGAAAGGTAGTGCAAATCAATTTCATCTCAAAGATAGTGCTGCAACTAATTCTTGTCCAGACTGTTTTATATTTTTTTTAACCCATCAATTTGCACATCCTTACTTATAAAGCTACCATTAAAGCAAAGAAGAAAAAAAAAAACAACAACCTTATTTCATAGCATCCTAGGAAATTGATTACAGTTTCACAGCTTGCACCAAGATAACTTGGAAAACTCTCTAGGCACACAGAGGGTTGCAAACTGATGTACAAACATGCAGAATCCCTTACTTGTGGGTGCAAGATGCTAAGTGACCTGGCTTACGGAACTAAGTCTACAGCAAAATTCAGGTACTCTGGCATCACAAAACAGTCTTCCGAATAAAGAAAACTACTCTCTGCTGCTCTTTGTACGTTGGGTTTGGCATGCTATACTGACATTTGGTAGCGTGCATTTTTCCTGAGTGTCCTTTGGCCCCCTTTTAACCAGGTTTCCACACCCCACCAAGGGCTTCTTCAAGTTTGTCTCTGTAAGCTGCGTAACGCTTCTTTAAGCTTTGCAGTTGCTCGTTTTCCTCTTTGTCCAGTATACGCAAGAAGTTTTGCAGTTCAGGAATACTAAAAGCTTCCCACTGGAAAAAGAAAAAGAGTGGATGAGATGAACAGAAAATACACAAATCATTTATATACACAGTATTTTTAAATAAAACCTCAGACACTCAAAACCATTTCAAACTGAAACAATATCAGGCGCTCTCCTTGCAAATCTTAGGGATCTGAAAGCATCTTACTCTTTTAAACTGCTTTTTGTTCTGCAAGTAACAACGGGTCAGTCTAACCACAAATTACATGTTTACAAAAGAAACAAAGTAAATAAAACAAGAAGAAAAAAAAAATCTGCTTCCAAAAAACAGATCCTCAGGAGCCCACTCATCCATGAAGTTAAACACACACAGAAAACCAGCCTTAGCGTAACATACCATGACTTCTCCAGTTTCATGCTCACGTAGAACAAAACTGAGCATTTCTGTTCTGGGGCCTGCCACTAAACGCAGGTAGAGGGGATGTTCTCGGTCTGACAGCTTGCATGTATAAACTGCAGGAGAAGAAAAATGACAGTAATTATGATATTTACTAATGATGTTTCAAACGCCTTTGAACAATTAACACTAGGTAAATGTTACAAAATCTCAGAGACAGGCAAGTGTAGCCATAATATTTACACATTCTACATACTGTCTACGTATTAGTCTACATACTGGTTTTGAGCAAATGAGTTTTGGGCAGAAGCTGAGCACATGACTGATGGTTAACAGTGCAACACTACGTTCACATAGGAACGAAATGGCCTCTAGTCACCACAGTACACTATCTGAACACATGCAGGGAAAAAAACACAAGGAAAAAGACAACACATCTGTTGCTGCTAACTAAGTACTTAAGACATCAGAGCTGTGGTATCACTGTTCTGATACCTTTTCCGCTTTCTCATACACAAAGTCTAAAAGACAACTCCGCCTGCCTGACACGGCTGGTGTGACTGACAGCCAGAAACATCTGAACTCCCGAAACTGCTCTCAATATCCATGGAAGAGGGTGGATTCTAAGTTCAAGAACACAATGTTGGCAAAACGCACTTTTCACAGAAAATACCTTTTGTATCTTCTGGTATGTCCGAACACGATACACAACAAGCTTCTAACAGCAGTCAGTGCACTGGGAGAGCCATGTGCACTAATTAACACACATCAACAGAATGCACAAGCATCAGTGCCCATGATGCTCGTCACCTCAAGGGCTGCCTGCCGATGCAGGGACTTCAGATATTACAGACACCAAGGTTTGTCTTTTTAAAAATCAGTCCTCTAATTTAATCTCAAAAATCTGCAGTGTATCAGGCTAGATGAAATTTAAAGCCTGGTAAGTGGGCACATTAAATAAAATATTTAAAAGGTACTGGAGCAGCTCTCCTATGAAGACAAGCTGAAGAGAGTTGGGCTTGTTCAGCCTGGAGAAGAGAAGGCTCCAGGGAGACCTTCTAGCAGCCTTCCAGTACCTAAAGGGGGCCTACAGGAAAGCTGGAGAGGCACTTTTTACAAGAGCATGTAGTGATAAGACAAGGGGCAATGGCTTTAAACTGAAAGAGGGGAGATTTGGATTAGATATAAGGAAGAAATTCTTCCCTCTGAGGATGGTGAAACACTGGAATAGGTTGCCTAGTGAAGTCGTGGATGGCCCATCCCTCGAAGTTTTCAAGGCCAAGTTGGATGAGGCTTTGAGCAACCTGATCTGGTGGAAGGTGTCCCTGCCTGTGGCAGGGGGTTGAAACTAGGTGATCTTTAAGCTCCTTTCCAACACAAACCATTCTATGCT